CTGTAACTCACTGGAACAGGTTGCAGAAGGAAAGAAGAGTTTAACACTGCTATGACTGTCTCTGCTCAGTTTGATCTAAACACTTGTAGAGGCAATCTGAATTTACAGTACCATTTCTGTTTGCTGATTCTTTCAGTCTCAGTAGTTGTCTACCATGCCTGCCACTGTGTTCTTATGGTGGTACACAAAGAGGATTGTGTAGCTAGGTGATGCTGGAGCCAGTTTTAAGGTTAACTTGCTATTGTACTTGGATAGTTTTGTTTGATGCTGAAATGTAGAGTAAGGATAGTGAAGTGAAGAGGGATGCTGTAGCATTTCCCTTCAGATTCATTTAGCTTTCTAGTTGCTTGAAGTTCTAAGACACTGCCTTCACAGAGCTAGAAACCCTTTTGCTTCTGATCATTTACAGAGGGGAAGTCAATTCTCTTGCACATATGTGACCAAGAGTCTCTAAATCTTGCTAGTTTAGCACTAGAGGCTCTCAAGAGCTGCTGAGAATGCATTGTTTTAGCTATTGTAACGTGCTATTGGTGAGAAATTTGCCTTGAGCTGAGAAGCCTCTGCAGCTCAAGGCAAATGTGATAACAGGTTTTCTGTTGCTGGGGTTCAAAGCAAGTTATGGTTATGATTCTAGAGTGTGTGTATAGTTCATCAGTTCTCGTCTCAGATTTACCCTGGAGAGTAGCCCGGGGCCATATCTCCCATTGCATTTGAAAAGGGGAAAATTTTGTGTCTGGAACAGCAGGTCAAAGAGGAAGCAGCTGAGAAGCAGAGTAAAGTCGAGTTAGATGTCCTAAAGGGAGTACTGCCCTGCTTTATTATTGTTGGTTATGGTGCTGGGTGGAGAATGGATTAAGAGCAGCCCTGAGGAGAAGGACTTGGGGATGTTATTTGATGAGAAGCTCCTCATGACCGTGCAGTGTGCACTTGCAGCCAAGACCTGTGTGCTGGGCTGCATCAAAACGAGTGTGGACATCAGGTCAAGGTAGGTGATCCTCTCCCTCTATTCTGCTCTCGTGAGACAAACAGGACGAACATCAGTGAGGTTAAATGATTTGAGAGGAGTATCCATAAATCATAAATATTAATGTGCATTGTATCCTAACTATTTCATGTTGCTTTTCAAACCTGTATTCCAGAATAACCCAAATTATGACCTGTCTTCCTGCAGGACAAGTGTTTGTGCATTGCCGTGAGGGCTACAGCCGTTCTCCTACCCTGGTTATTGCCTACCTCATGCTTCGCCAGAACATGGATGTCAAGACTGCGCTGTGCACGGTCCGGCAGAAGCGAGAGATTGGCCCCAATGATGGCTTTCTAAGGCAGCTTTGCCAGCTCAATGAGCGCTTGGTGAAGGAGGGCAAACTGAAGCCCTAGAACTGGGCACTGGAGTATTTTTTGAAGTTTCTCAGAGGATGTCTTAGATGCTTTAGATTCTCAACCCCCAAGCACCAAGCTCAATCATTTCCTGTGAGGGAGACAGAATTCCTGCTCTTGGCTAGTGAAACTCTGGGTCTGTCTTTCAAGGAGGCACAAAACTGTGTCACTGTCCTGAGCTGTTGCAATGAGGAAGTGTTTTTAGAGGGGTAACTGCAGTGATAGCTGTCTTCTCACATATGCCAGAGCCCCCTGCAGACTCTGTTGCATCTGTGGTTTGCATTGGCATTGAGTGTGATTCATTTAAGCCTTGTCTTACATCCCACCAGAGCACCATTTTATGAGAGCCCCAACACATCACTCACTTTTAATTAAAGTACTGTATTTTCTAAAGCTTCTTTTTCATGCACACAGTGCCTAAAGTTTGAGTGTAGGAGCTTCAAGGAATGGAGAAGCATATATATATAAATACACAGAAGCACTTGCTTGTAAAATGAAGTCTATGCAGTGTTGTGTTTAGTGTGGATTTACGCAATACACAGTGTGTGTTAGTAAAGCCATTCAGAGCCCAATCTTGAGGCACACTATTTCCAAGAGTATTTGTACCTCTTGCTCTGGTGATTGACAAGAAATAGTTGATATTAAATGCTCTTTTATTTTTGTTTTGAAGTTGTACTAGAAAACAAAGTCAAGAGCAAATGTTGAGGAAAAAACTTGAGCAAGGAATTAAAAATGGTTTATATTTGGGAGTGCTTGTACTGAATGTGTGATAAAGTCCTGAGTGGCAGAATATAATGGCTCCCAAGGCTTGTGTGGAATTACAGTTTCTCTCTCCCTTCTTCCCTATCACTGTTCATTAACATAGGATAGAATGACCACATATGCAGATTACTTCCAGTAGGGCAGTACAGCTGTGCCTACAAAGCAGTTTGCAGAAGTACACTCAGGAGTTCTTGGGTTGCTTGCATGGTGTGATTAAATAGAAATGAGCATTGTTCCGTACGACACTGAATAGGAAACATTTCCTTTGTGTTTAAATAAATGATGTCTTCATTCTGTTTGACATAAAGTTGAAACGAGTCATTGCAATGTTAGGAGAGGGAGCTTTGTTTATGGTATGCCTGATGGTGTGTAGGTGTGTACCTGGGAGTTAGAGCACAGTATTAATGCAAAAGGCCTTCTCTGCAAACTCAGAGTTGTTGGTTAAACTAACAGAACTTGAGATATATCTGTTCCTTTTTTATCTGTGTTTTAACGTGGTTCTAGATTAGAAATCTTACCACTATCTTAAGCAAACACTGTTGTATTGGTAACATGTAAGATCAGATCTACTTTTGTATATTCAGTTCGCTAATCAAAAAATCACAAAGGACGTACACTGTTTTGCTTCTGGTTGTTGGGGTTGTGTGGGTTGGGAGGGGGTGGGGGGGGGCAGGTGGGAATGATGGGAGGGAATCCTGAATAGCTATATAACTTCTTTGAAGTTAAACTCCAGAAGTGAGTATTCTGGTTGAAGACCAGGCTTATTTCTGTTCCCTTGCACAGGATGGGAACTGGCAAGTCCAGTAGCCTTTTCTTATGTGTCCTTTAAAGGGACAACTGGAGAACACTCTCCATAGTGTTTCCTTTCATCTCCCTACAATCAGTATTTAGTGCTTGCTTTGAATCAAGATGGTTCAGTAGTGAGGAGCAGTAAGTAGTTTCATTGGCTAATTACATACCCATACATCAGTATTACATAGTCATACACTGTTAGATCCCATTATATCAGTATTAAGTGAATAGCTTCTCTTTCTATGTTGTCTCACACCATGTATTCCTGATACCTCTCTGCACTACAGGGAGAAAAAAGAGCTTCACAAGCATGTACTTTGACCTGTTACTTAAGAAGTCAAAAATTCCAGTCCATTAAAAAGCCAAGAACGCAGTAGGCATCAGACTTCTGTTGCTCTTCCATAGGTTGTAAGAAGGCTGATAGTTGTCAGATTAAACCAGAACACTTTAGTAAGTGGAGTCTCTTTACCTGTTTTTGTAAGAAATCCTGACAAATCAAGACATACAGGAATTTGTTCTCATATTCAAGATACTCTTTGAATTCATAGGACACTGCTCACTTCTGATGGGAACTTCAGTGCTAATGTGGCCCATTTAGCTTAGCGTGACAGAAATGATTTAACAAATGTTTTGTAGTAGGAGAGCGGAGAGAAATAAGACAGTGCTATAAATTGATCTGACAATTGAGCTGTAAGATGGTATGTCCTATTCTGAGTTACTGATGGGTGACTCAGTAATGAAACCATTCCTAGCTCTGCTTTTAGAGTAGGCTAAAAATAGTTTAGAATGTCAGTCCCCCGCTCCATTAATGGACCATAGGCTGCCTCTTTTATCTTGCTGTTTGAGTACAGTAATGTTTCAAATTCTTCTTGCCTATTTTAGCTTGCCAAGAAGAGACTGTATGCTTCGAATCCGTTGTCATATGCTCTATACTTCTAAATCTCTTTTTTTGATTGTAGAATGAAAGCTTGTATAAAATGGGAATGAGAACTTTCTTTCCAGCTAATACAAAACCAGGAAAGTACTGGAAGAAATGCACCTTTTTTGACCTTCTGAAGTGTGAGATGTTCCTTACAAACATGCTAATTGGGGAAGGTATTTCTTCAAATCACTATTGATTGCAACACTACATTTTTGGAGTTGAAACCTCTTGGTTATAGCTAAGATAGTGTGATGTGTTTATCCTGAAGAGCGGTGTGGTGCTTCTTGGGTAAATAGCAGTCTGGAGAATGGATGGAGTTTCTGTGAGATATGCATTTATCATAGACGAAATGTGTCTACCATGTAAAATCCAGCACAATGAAGGAAAAAGCAATAGCTTAGGGGTTTTGTACTTGAGAGTTAGTGAAGTTGGAGAGTGGGAAGAGTGGAAGTGAGAAGCTATTCGCATTGCATAACAAGTTTACAAAGAGGAACCTCCGGATAGATCAAATGATGATATATGTAAAACTAAATTCACCTTCTACTCAGGCTGAACTAAATCTTTCTTGGCCTTTCCATAAGCACAGGAGAGAAGTTTGTAACTAAAAGTTAAGATTCAAAGCAAAACCCGTGTTTTCTGGGTGCTTTCTTTGTCCTTTGGTCTTGCAGCTGAGATTGCAACGTTGACAACAAGAGTAGGAGCTAGCATGAAGCTCTGAACCACAGGTATTGACAGAACACACATAAGAGAATGTTGGAATGTGTCCCTGCTGAAAAATGAATATTCCATGAAGTTTCAAACTTAGAATGAGTAGCATCCGAATGCAGGATGTTTTTAGCACAGAGGGACTGTCTCATGGAATCTCAGTACAGCGCAGAGGCTTCTTCTAAAACGACTTTCTGGGCTTTGCCAGTGAGTAAAACCAAAACTAGAATAAGCCTGAGAGGTCTCTTCTAAGGATTTGTCCATGAGAATTAGCGTCCTGTTCATTTTGCAAATAAATCCTGAAAATGAATTAAGCTGTTGTGGGGTTTTGTAATTTCACTATGCCAAGGTTCCTGGCTGGCTGACTCACCAGATGGAGCTGTAGGCTTGTTATTCTTCTCCAGATAGTCATCGTTCCATCCCTGAACAATGCTGCTGTGTAAATCTAACGTAGTCCTGTCCTATCACTGAAAAAGGCAAGCCAGCAGTATGATTTATCAGTGCATTTGCTGGGCTCTGCTGAGAGAACACCAAGATTCCATTTATTCTTGGCTACTTGGAGGAGATCGCACCATAGCGTTCTGCTTCACAAGGTAGTGCATGATTCAGCAATGAGACATAGAGCTTGCTTGGGCAAGAGTGGCTTAGCAGCAGCTTAGAACTGTTAGAGAAGCAAATAAGTTACTGTTAAACATGTCAGAAGCTGAATTCAAGTGCAGTGTGTAGATTATAAGCTGCTGGCCACAGATAAGAGCTTAAGTTCCACACATGTATTATAGGGCTTGGATTCCAAACAGCACCTTGGCCATACCCATTGGCTAGGTATGGGCAGAGGGGGTGCATAGTGAGCACCAGATGTTACAAGTGACAGAACTGATTTCAGAAACTGGTTTGTATGTTCATGCCCTTACAGTAAGGAGTACAGTGGTGCAGTGCATGCACAGCAGGACACGAGTCAGAGTCCAGAAAGCAGCAGCAACACATTCAGGCTAAATATACGATGCCAATTTGTTCCTTGTACCTGCTCCCTTGATATGTCTGGTTCCTTCTTAGAATGTGGGATTTGGATTCATTTCCTGCCTCTATTAGGCTGCCCTCCTCACCTGGGGACAAGGAGTTTTAAGCCAGAGGTTAAAGAGCTTCTGATTCTCACTTTCATAGATTTTCAGGTTATTTCTCCCAGTGGGTAATACAGGGAAGTGTTAAGACAGTTACAGAGGGGATTGTTCAAGTACTTAGAGAAGCTATGTCAAGAAAAATGTGATGTTTTATGTAACAACTGATGACTGTAAGTGCAGTTCTCTCTAGCAGGCCTATAGTGCCAATGACAGCTTTTGGAAATAGTCACTACACAGACATTAAGTGAAAAGGAATTCACAGAAACTGAGCTGAGGGATACATACAATTCCGAAGGCATTTAACTAGGGGAGTGAGCAGGTAGCAGTGGCTCAGTGGTTATCAGTGCTCCATTTTCTTCTCCTCTCCTGTTGTGCTCTTCAGCTGTACGCTGTGCCACAAGCTGTGATCTCACTTTGGACAGGGTCACTATTGGTGAATGCCAATACAATGTGGTATTCCTGTCTGACAAAAACAGTGTGTTGCATTTCTCCATGAAACAGTCATGTCTTAGATAATTTCTTATCGTCAAGGTCACCCCAAGGGAGGACGCACCTCCACTTTAACATCAGTGACACCCATTTTCCCAGGTCAGGGAAGTTGTCCGAATGGAATGCGAGCCTTAGGTAAAGAGTCTTGTAGCATTAGGGCATAGTCAGACAGTGAATCTCTTCTACATGAAGTATTTTTGTGAGGATGTATGTATGTGACAAACATTGTAATAACACACGTGGGTGTCCCTCTACTGCTGCAAGCAGTGTTGCTTGCAGTAGCTATGGTGAGCTCAGTGTAGTATCTAACCTTACTAAAACCTGAGACTCTTTCCAAGTAACATATATAGCCTGCTGTCATTTGTAAGTTACTGGAAAGTGTATGTAGTCTGAGACAAAGAAATGATGCAGCTCTTACTGCTATCATCTGATTTTTGCAAGGAAGAAGGATATCAGGGATGAGATTTTAAAACACGACACATGAATACATCTTGGGCGTAGGTGCAATGGACATAAGGGACATCAGTTCTCTCTTTTTGTTCGTTGCATCATGAATGGAAATCAATCTGGTCATGTTCTTGTGTTTGAAATAAGCAGGTGTCCTATATTCAACACTGGTGCAGAACATCAGCAGAAGCAGTAGCATGCAGTGAGAAAGAGTGCATCCGAAAGCATGATGTACAACATCCTGGCTGTTTCCCCATACTCACATATTCCAAGTAGCTTATTTTTTTTTAAGGAAAACCAAACAAACCCCTTCTCATGTTGAAAAGAAGCCTTTCCTGGTTCCTGCAGGACATTGGTGAAACAAAATGCAGAGCTCCTTGGTTTGTAAAGTGAAAAAAAAGCTACATTCTCCCACCCCCGGTAATTTGCCTGCAGAGACTGAAAAGCAGAACAGTGTACACTGAACTACAGCTTGAGATTTGCTTTGTACCGGGGCAGGAGGGGAAGAACAACAGTAAAATTACAAAGTCTGAAGAACCTTTGGAAAAGACAATAGGCAAAGATGCCAATGTGGAGGCTGGTTTTAATTATACCAGCGTTAGAAAGAAACTGCAGAGAGGCTCGTCAGCTCCCGCTTCATCCCGGTCTTGTCAGTCACCATTGTTGCCAGGCACAAAACTGGACACTTCTGAGAAGTTTTGACATAGAAGTTGTGGAATATTGTTCACTAACCCACCCCCACACACCCATTTTATTCCACACTGACAAAAGCTGAGATGAATGAGTTGTTCTCTGGCCCTTCCCACTTTGCATAGTCATTGGCTGGCTTGGTTCTAAAAGGGATTTAAAAAAGGGGAATAATGTGCCTTTGCCTGGGATCTGAGACTGTCAGGGTGCTGAAAAGCTAATCTGCGAGCTGCCACCATGCAGATCCCTTGGGCTGTGTGCTCTGTCTGTGTCTTAACACAAATGGCATTTCGATCTGTGGAAGGGTGGCAAGTGTTTAAAAATGATGCTACAGAAATCATCCCTGAGATGACTGAAAACACAGAAACACCGATGGAGCAGACTTTCAGCAACAACAACACGATGAACCAGGCAAAGCATGGAGGAAGACACATACAGCAAGCTCCAGACCCTAACGGTAAGAAAAACACCATCATTATTACAGTATTGGACCCTAATAGACAGTTTGCAAAAGAATACTTGTTCTTATCTATTTCTTATTTATTTAACATATATATTTAATTAAAACTTGCAGTGTGGATCTAATGCTGTAAGTGATAGGGAGTGATATCTACTGTAGAAGAAGTATCAATGTAAATGTTAGAAGGGATGCACTGGGGTTTACTGATGAAGAACGTGGTCTATGTATTGAACAATCCTTAGGTGCTACAATAGGCGTTCCTGCTCTGCCCATCTGCTCTCTGCAGACACAACTCCAGTATAGAAAACCTGCAGAAATGTTACTTCAATTTCTCTGGGTTTTGTGCTTGCAAGGAGGAACTATCACAGATTGACTTTCTGATGTCAGGATGGGGTGATGGGTTGACACTGGAGATAATATACATTCTTAATCTTTAGAAAGAGTGGCACTAGTGATGCCAAAGATCACACAGCAGAAATGGTACACGGAGGCTGTGTTCAGCTAGAGGAGAAGTGCTGCTCACTGCCCTTTGCCCACAGCCAGGTCCCAGCAACCAGAAAAGCTGCTACAGAGAGTTAAAACACTCCCAAGGGGAATTCTTGCCCAAGTGAATTGGAGGAACTTTATTTTGCAGAGGTGTGCAATCTTGGAATCAGTTTGGCTACTTTAACAGCACACATTGGCACTGCATTTCCCCAAATACATAACATTTGCAATGATGCAAAACACAAGCTTTGTGAGGAGAGATGGAAGATGAGGAGTTGGCACCAAACAGGGAAAGGTAGTTTTAAAGAAGTGGCTTACTGGCAAACAGGACAACCCTGGTCCTCCAGATTGACACGTGCCTACCAAACACAGAGAGCAACAAGATCGAGTTTCCACTATTGTGCACTGCAGAGCTAGCCTTCTGCTTCCAAGGACAACTGGAAGGGAATCATGGTTTTCTGCTGTCATAGCATTAACAGTATTTTAAAAGCAGGTTTTGAGAGAGTAACTTTACAAAGATCTTAAATGCCTAAAAGGGGGGAGCAATCTGCTGCTCACAGCAGCCCTGGCAACCACCAGGTCAAGCAGGTTGGTTGTGTTGTTACAGCTGAATACCTTCATTCTTTAGCCTCTTACCACTCTGACATCAGTGGGGGTGGAAATCTGTCCCACTGATATGTGCATTTACTTAAGCAAGAGAAGGTGGAGGAGCCTGTGCAGGTATTCAAGATATGAAATGGTTTTATTTTAATGTCTTTAATACAAGAAATCAAGAAAATGATGCAAAGTAGCCCAGTCTTCCCAGGACACATGAGTTTGCACCAGACCATGAATACTCTTGCAGTATTGCACTGACAGAGGACAGGACATATATGCTGTCACTAATAGAGTCAGAATTCTCTCTTGATCTACCAAGGAGGGGACCACCTTGTGAACAGCAAGGAGAATGAGCCTAACAGACACAGCCTTCTATTTGTAACGTGACCTTTGAGGATTTGCACCACAAGTAGCATTCCTGAGTTAAACTATCCTGTTGGCTAAGAGCAGAACGTTAACGTGAGCGTATCTGGTGAAGTTCTTTGACAAACACCTTCAGAAATCAAAGTATGTGTCCTCCAGACAAGTCAATTAGCCAAGCAGGTCACCTGGCAAAAGAGATGCCTTCAGAATAAGCCTGTTCCTACAATTCCCTACAATTGGAAAGTTCTTCTAAAGCCTTAATGTTAAAAAACTCTTGTATTTCCCAATGTTTCATTTGCCTGTATCTGTTGAGGAAAAGGGGGAAAAACCACTATAAGATTCCTAATCAGTCTGAAGGTGCCTCTAGCTGTCTGAAGGAAACTATGTGGGATATGTAGAATCATAGAATAGTTCGGGTTGGAAAGGACCTTAAGATCATGCAGTTCCAACCCCCTGCCATGGGCAGGGACACCTCACATTAAACCATCTCACCCAAGGCTTCATCCTACCTGGCCTTGAACAGTGCCAGGGATGGAGCATTCACAACCTCCCTGGGCAACCCATTCCAGTGCCTCAGCACCCTCGCAGGAAAGAATTTCCTCCTTAGATCCAATCTAAACTTAGATTGGGATTATCACAGAGTGCAGTAAACACAGAAAACCTAATGCCAGAAGAGTGGGAATCCCTCAGCACTGTTGTTACCTGCTCTTCTCTGGCACACACTATAGTGGTTGAAAATCACTTAAGGAGCACTTAACTTGTTACACAACAGATTTAAAACTGGAGTCAACCTCTGAAGCCAAGAGAGTTAAAGTAGAGCAATGAGGGGAGGTTTTGCCCCCAGGTAAATGAAGCCAGGAGAATCCCATCCAGATTTGCCATGAAGTAGCCGCGGCTGCAGGGGTTTCACTTCAGAAGCTCTGCTGCCCGCATGCACAAGTCTGAGCTGGAATTTACCCAGTGACGAGGATTTCAGTCATCAATTCGTACACTGCTAGTCAAGGGGCTCATAACTAAATAGCTGAATCTTCCAAAGCTGCCGGGGTGATCTGGAGTTACTCTTCCCCTTCAGGATGCGCAGCTTGTGTCTAGCTCCGAGCCAGGTTACCTGTGCCACAAACACCAAAGTGCTTTCTCAAGGGTGGGGAGAAAAGGAGTCCGTAATGAAAGTGTTTCTCGTTTGCAGACGCTTCCGACTTCAGCTGCAGGGAGATGCGCACCACCCGCTACGTCACAGAGGGGCCCTGCCGCAGCATCAAGCCCGTCAAGGAACTGGTGTGCTCTGGTCAGTGTGTCCCCTCGCATCTCCTGCCCAACTCCATCGGCAGAGGGAAGTGGTGGCGGCAGAACTCCCTGGATTATCGCTGCATCCCCGCGCACACGCGCACGCAGCGCATCCAGATGGCCTGTCCTGAGGAAGAGACTCGGACTTACAAATTCCGAGCTGTCACGTCCTGCAAGTGCAAGCGCTACACTCGCTACCACAACCAGTCCGAGCTGAAGGACTTTGGGAAGGAGCCTGCCAGGCCTCAGAAGAACAAGAAGCCCCGTCTCTCCAGGGCGAGGAGCAGCAAATCGAACCAGCATGAGTTAGAAAACGCTTATTAGAAGGCGGCTCCGAGCGGTACAGCCTGGCAGCTCTGGATATCTGACGAGACATCGACTGGCACTCACAGGCCACAGCATCACGTTCTGACTGCAGTAGGTTTTAATTCCTTCTGCTAAGCGGGGTCAAAGGCTCACACAGTGAAAAACCTGTCCGACTGTAGCAGCTACGGTGTGATAAAGGAACGAGATAAACTGAGCTGGAGGTAGCAACACCTAAATTCAGTCTGAGAGGAGAGGTACACCTTGGAGGTCCTGTGGCTTGTACAAGTAGGAAGGCAGAAGAAAGTGAAGCTGTTATGGTGACAATCACACTATATTAGAAGTCATTCTACTCTATGTGAAAAGAATACCGAGATCTCTTTCCCACTTCTGTAAGTGCCATGATGCAGGACAAGCATGAGATTAGGCAGCACCAGGAAAGCTACCACTCTCTGAGTTGTAGGAAGTTAGTGATAGCAGGGATTTCCACAGTGATGGTGCCTGAAGTCAAGTTGTCAGGATGTCAGATGCCCTCATGACCCAGTTGTCTCCTCCAAAACACAGAAATCAAACAATGATGCTCATGTTCTCAAAAGTGTGACAAATCTGTTTCATACTGTAGGATAGAGAGATTGAAAACTGAGATTTGACAACTAAAACCACAGAATCATGGAATGGTTGGGGTTGGAATGGACCTTAAAGCTCACCCAGTTCCAACCCCCTGCCACGGGCAGGGACACCTCACACTGGAGCAGCTTGCTCCAAGCCCCTGTGTCCAACCTGGCCTTGGACACTGCCAGGGATGGGGCAGCCACAGCTTCTCTGGGCACCCTGTGCCAGGGCCTCACTCTCATAGCAAAGTTTTTTTCTTACTGTCTAATGTACATCTGCCCTCTTTCAGCTTGAAGCCATTTCCCCTTGTCCTGTCACTCCATGTCCCTGTAAAAAGTCCCTCTTGTAGCCCCCCCTTAAGATATTGAAAGGCCACGATAAGGTTTGTGTTAGGGACAATGGTTTGGTTTAGGAACCATTAAACAAACTCTACTAAGTGGAGGGGGATTTATGAAAGGATGCTCCTCTCAAACCATTTAACCTCACTGTTGTTTGTCCCCTGAACAGCTAACAATGTGTAGGATTGAACATAAAAGGTACTGATTATTCCTTATTTCCTAGAATACAACTGACTTTAGCATGACCTTAGATGTACCAATTTACATTTTCTATTCTATGGAGTTTGGGTTATCTGGCCACACACTTTCTAGTGCTGAGACTGTGTAAGCCAAGTTCTGGGAGTAAGGTGCTGGTTAAAAGTGAGCCTCTGCTAATCTTAAAGTCATTAATTCCTCTAGAAAAGTCTTTGGTATGTGCAACATTAAGTCCTTAGCTTGACAGCAACTTTCCCTTTGTGTTTTTACAATAAAGAATAGTATTAGAAAGTGAATCATCACATGCTGTATCTATCCTGTAGAAGTGCTAAGCCTAGTATCAGATGAACACAGTTTGGGATGAAGCCAGTTCCTCACTGTTCTTATTTTCTATGTAGAGTTTATGATGAAATCATATAAGCTATGGAAGTTTGCAATGTTGTTAGATTTTATGCGGGACCAGAGCCTAGAGATGGAAGGTGTTGGTTCACAGAGGGAATTACGTATTTATTTTGTCCTCAGATAATTTATACAATGTTTTTCCTTGTAGACAATGAGAAGTAAAATCGCTTTAAAAATAATAGGCTGTTCTTTTTTCATTTCAAATACACTGTTAATAAAGCGGAAACAATGATTAATTGCAGGAAGACTCATTGGTTTGAAACTATAGGAGCAAGCTGATTCACAACAAAGCTGGGGAATTACAGCACAGTCAGGGAGTTGCCTCCCTTTTCTGTCATAAAGTGTCAGGGTCCTTAATTCTCCACCAATCAATAACCCACGGAGCTCCAAAGAAATTCCATCCTGGAACTTCTTGCTCCAATGCAGGACGTTTCTCATGGAAAAAGTCTTTCAATATTCTCCTGTCTACTTGCCCTGGGGAATTCAGACTCAGCCCATTTCACTTTCCCTTTACTCCCAGTGCCACCTCCTGATTCATACGTTCCCACCCTGATAAAGCCACCCAAGCAAACAAGAAGTCTGTGAACTGCCCACTGAGATTGCTCCATTGCAATCTGACTGCTTCAGGCTTCTCTCACTGAAAAAGGAAGAAGCCTGGAACCCCCCCTGGCAAGTGCCAAGCAGCAGTTTGTCTGTTTGACAGTTTGATAGCGCGGACTTGTGCCCATTTTCATTTATAAGACCATATCCTGTGAGAAACAAAGACATTTTCCAATGAAGTCAAGGAAAACTGAGCTTGAGCTTGGACTGCCCATGGCATGCAGATCTTCCAGTACAGCTATGAACAGCTTTGTCAAGACAGCCATAGAGAAGGTGTCCTTGCCCTGCAATTATTTGATACCTCATATAAAACCATAATAGAAACGGCTGCCAAACCTGTGATAACATTTCCCAGACTTATCTTTGACTTTATCAATTTGGCACCCAGGGCTTCATTCGCAGAACTGAGCGCGGATACCTGCAAGTGCTTCTTAAGCAAGAAAAGCAGTTCAGCTCCTCTGCAAAGCGATTCCACGGTCTCACTGGCATCTGAACTCACTAGAATATGGGGTTTAAAGCGTTGACTGCGATAAACCAGTGAAAGCACTCACTCCACTATCTGGGACTGCACGCTGGGTGCCAGGCAAGGCTGAAGTACAGAGCCTGCTGCCTTTGGGTGAGCCCCTGACATCTTTCTCCCACATGGTTCACCTTAAAGGCATCCTTTTCAGAAACCAAACCAGTGCAGAAACCCAAACCCAAAGAAACACAGGAGCCCCCAAGCCCCACAGAGTCCCCCCACCCCAGCTCTCTTCCACAAGAAGCACCTTCTGCCATTCAGAATCCTGCAGGTTTCTGATTTACAACGTAAGGAGTGGTTCTTTGCATGTTAGAAAAGCTTTTACAACAATGCCAATGGCCAGGCAGTCCGGAGACACTGCTGCATTGCCTCTCAATGCCCATCCTGTTTAGGGGTGCTCCTCACTGGTTTCTTACCACAGGTTCCTTGCAAACACAGCATTTGGATTTTCTCTCCCCTCTAATAAAGGTGCACATGGTTTTAGCTCCCCATTAGGACACATTACTCACAGCTCTTAGTAGGGCTCTAGAAAAAGGAGATTTAGAGACTTCCTGGTCCAATAATCTATGCTGGTGTTTGCTGGAAGCATTATTGTGGCTCAAGGGATGTGGTGTGCACAAGAGATGCTCAAACTGGGGCTTGAGAATGAGCGTCTGCAGGAAATTTCAGCTTGTCTTTCATACCAAATCTCGACACTTCCAGTTCTTCCCAAAGAAGAAAGCTTGGTGCTGGACACAGAGGGAATAACTGAAACCAGAGCGACATCATAGATTGCCCTTCCCTCAGTGCAGCATTACTGAGCATAAACCACACATGGCACAGGAGCTTTCAGAGAAACAAATACTGCAAAGGCTTGGCAATGGGATGGGACCTGCTCTGCGCTCCTTTTACAGAAAGGGGGTTGGAACTAGATGATCTTAAGGTCCTTTCCAACCCTAACTATTCTATGATTGTAAGCATTAAACAGTTTTTCTCCAGGGCTATAAATTTCTCAGGCAAAAGTGAGTTTCTTCACTGTAATTTTTGCAAGAAAATAGCACAACAGAATGCAACTGAAGTGCTACTGAGCTATAAGTAGCAACAGGTCACTGAATTTGTCTTCACTTGGCTGGAGAGAGCTGCCTGTCAGCACTGGGGCAACTGCCACGACGGGCAGCCCACAGAAGAACAATCCCATTGCTCTTTTCCAGACGGGATTCATGATTTCCCCAAATCAGCTTTGAGCATTCATCCCTTTGCCCCCCATTTTTATTCCCACTTGTGCAGAGAACAAACCATGGCAGGTTCTCTGCAATGCACTCACACCAGCGAGTGTGCCGACTCTTTCTTCCACTGTCTTCTGCTATGTAAGATGAACATCCCGGCAGCACAAACAGCCACAGGGTATCCACAGAGTCCCACAGGTTTTGCATGAGGTTCAACTTTTCGATTACAGATTGCACAAGAAAGGACATAACTTTCCCCAGGGAGGCCCTAAGCCCAGCAAACACAGCGTGTGTGTGTTCTGCACCCGTGGTTGACAAAGTCAGCATTGTGAAACACAGAGGGAACAAACACGTATGTTTTTAGCCATATGACATCAACTTATAATTAGCTTCTTTCACCCGAATTAGTGCAGTATATGGGCACACAAAACAACTTTTCTATAGTAAACAAGCTCGGGAGTCTTAAATTAACATAGAATGCAGTTGTATGGAAGTTGAGTCGGGATTGAACGTACCGTGAGCTGTAACCTGAATTGTGAATACACTAAAACTGCCCCTGATAGGCAGTTCGAAATAAAGCCAGTCCAGCTTGAGTGAACTGGATGATCTTCAGGTCCTTTCCAACCCGAACCATTCTATGATTCTATTGCCAGCTCATACTGAGTTTTTCATCCACTAATACTCTAATTCAAGCTCTTCTCTGCAGGGTTGCTGGTGATCCCTGTGTGGCTCAGCCTGTACCATGGGTGGGTTTGCCTCAATCCATGTGCAGGAGCTTGCACTTGGCTTTGTTGAACTCCATGGAGTCCACACAGGCTTACCTCTCTAGCTTGGCAAGGTCCCTCTGGATGGCATCCCTTCCCTCTATAGTATCGGCCACACCACTCAGCCTGGTGCACACTTTAGTATCCAAGCTTGTAATCCCAGCCCTGCCTCTCCTTGCTGCTACCAGGGTCTGCCTGGATCATGCTGATGCCATGAACATCCCTTTTAGCCCAATGAGGTGAGGCGGTGTGTGATGTGAATCCCTTTTTCGCCACATATTGGCTACTCAGGTTCTAACTGACACATATGGGGCACTTTAGATTGGAATTGTCCCTTATGAATTTGTATAGCACCCAGATGGGGAAACATTGACCTATGCTTGGCGTCCATAACGGCAATACCATCGCTTTCACCTTTAAGGGAAGCAGCCCCAACTCCTTGACTGTTACAAGGCCAAAGTCATGCATCTCCCTCCTGAAGACTTCCACATCAGGCTGCTTGTACTGTAGTATTAACCTTCAGACTCAGGCTTTCTAGTTCATGGCTTTTTATGCAACTCCCAAACCAAGAAATACAAGTGTATTTATTCTATGGTTATCAAGCCCCTAAATTAAACAGGCATCTTGATCAATTCACCAGCAATTTAATGCTCGTGGCATGAGGTTATTTCACTGTCTTAAGAAAATAGCTCAGCTCTGGCTAAATAAATAAGTGATGTCATTCTTCATTCAAGCTACCAGATTCTTTGGTATAAAAATTTCCCTTAGGAGAGGCCTTGGGACACAGTGGCTCCTCGGAGACTATTTACATCTGTCGGATTCTCTAATCTCTTCTTCCTTCCTCCTCTCCATTTCCTTCCCTTTCCCTACAAAATGGCCAGTATTTAACTCTAATGCTCCCAGTCTGCAGGGCATGGGTTAGAACTGGGTGGTGGTTGGTTTCTTTCGTTGTTTTACTGTTGTTTTGGGGCAGGCT